ACGCTTTCCAACACGAGGTATAAGATTGTGGTGCAATAATATTTTTTTTTATAAAACAGCACCTTTTTTAACTTTGCACTATTATCATGCTATATTCTTGGTTCTTTAGGTAAAGTCACGTAGAAGGGAAACAATAAAATAATTTAAAAATATTTCATTTTATAGAAGGGAAACAATAAAATAAAAATATATTTTGTATTTCATTGTTTCCCTTCTACGTGACTTTACCGAAAGAACCAAGAATATGAATCCCTGCAGTAACGAAAGCTTTAAATAAAAAAATTACTATCATGTTTTTGTACTGCTTGTTGTTGCAACGTTCTTACCCCGTGCCCCCTACTGGACATCTGTGAAAAAAGAGCTTTATAGCTCATCGGATTCCTTCTGCAGTATAAATAAAATAATCTGATTCTGATAAGCCTCGTCGGCCAAGGTGATGACGTCACAAGGCGATGACGTCACACGCCACGCGTTCGCCTGTCACCGTGACCATGTGACTTGGAACGTGACACTAACGTAACGCTAATCTCGCTTGTTACATACCGGGACTCCTCTGCTTACAAACGCGTTAGGTTCCCGAGGTCGATTCCTAGTCGATTTGTTCGTAAGTCCAACGTTAGTCCTGTCGATTCCAAACACGTACTGCGTGTACACGATACACGGGGAATGGCTCTCAAAGTTGTATACTCCTGTAGACGTAGATGCCACTGGCTCTTTACGTTCTGCAGATGTAGATGCCACTGGTTCTTCACGTTCTGAAGATGTAGATGCCACTGGTTCTTCACATTCTGCAGATGTAGATGCCACTGGTTCTTCACGTTCTGCAGATGTAGAGGCCACTGGCTCTTTACGTTCTGCAGATGTAGATGCCACTGGTTCTTCACGTTCTGCAGATGTAGATGCCACTGGTTCTTCACATTCTGCAGATGTAGATGCCACTGGTTCTTCACGTTCTGCAGATGTAGATGCCACTGGTTCTTCACGTTCTGCAGATGTAGATGTCACTGGTTCTTCACGTTCTGCAGATGTAGATGCCACTGGTTCTTCACGTTCTGCAGTAGTAGATGCCACTGGTTCTTCACGTTCTGCAGATGTAGATGCCACTGGTTCTTCATGTTCTGCAGATGTAGATGCCACTGGTTCTTCACGTTCTGCAGATGTAGATGCCACTGGTTCTTTACGTTCTGCAGATGTAGATGTCACTGCTTCTTCATGTTCTGCAGATGTAGATGCCACTGGTTCTTCACGTTTTGCAGGTGTACATTAGATGCCACTGGTTATTCACGTTCTGCAGATGTAGATGCCAATGGTTCTTCACGTTCTGCAGATGTAGATGCCACTGGTTCTTCACGTTCTGAATATGTAGATGCCACTGGTTCTTCACGTTTTGCAGATGTAGATGTCACTGATTCTTCACGTTCTGCAGATGTAGATACCATTGGTTCTTCACGTTCTGCAGATGCCACTGGTTCTTCACGTTCTGCAGATGTAGATGCTACTGGTTCTTCACGTTCTGCAGATGTAGATGCCACTGGTTCTTCACGTTCTGCAGATGTAGATGCCATTGGTTCTTCACGTTCTGCAGATGTAGATGTCACTGGTTCTTCACGTTCTGCAGATGTAGATGCCACTGGTTCTTCACGTTCTGCAGATGTAGATGCCACTGGTTCTTCATGTTCTGTAGATGTAGGTGCCACTGGTTCTTCACGTTCTGCAGATGTAGATGCCATTGGTTATTCACGTTCTGCAGATGTAGATGCCACTGGTTCTTCACGTTCTGCAGATGCCACTGGTTCTTCACGTTCTGCAGATGTAGATGCCACTGGTTCTTCATGTTCTGCAGATCTAGACGCCACTGGTTCTTTCATGTTCTGAAGATATAGATGACACTGGTTCTTCACGTTCTGCAGATGTAGATGCCACTGGTTCTTCATGTTCTGCAGATCTAGATGCCACTGGTTCTTTCATGTTCTGCAGATGTAGATGACACTGGTTCTTCACGTTCTGCAGATGTAGATGCCACTGGTTCTTCACGTTCTGCAGATGTAGACGCAACCACCGCCATCTATTGCGCGGCGGTTGAACTTACGACTCTCGGTCCGAACAGGCACCTGGACATACGGACAGGTTTTTTCGTATCTCTGAAAGTTCGTAAGTCGAATTTTAGTAAGTGGTGGAGTCCCTGTACAGTATCTCCGAGGACAACACGCACGTTGGGATGCATTATTATGAAAGTCGTGCGCACGCAATTCTATTTCTTCCTTGCTCATCGAAAATCGCCACCAACTATCACCAGAGGCGTAGTGTAGGGCTGACCGATTAATCGATTTCAAATAAAAATTTGAAACAATGCAATTAGCAAATCGCAAAGGCTGCGATTTTTTGCGATTCGAAAATTCCTATTGCTTTCTTAATGGAATTGTTTTATTATTATAGCTTTATTTATTGAACTTAACAATTGTGCTATGTTTGATTGTTCTATTTCAATTGTTTTTAAATAAATACATGTTGAAAGCAATTCATATATCTTAAGTTATCTGAATATATAGAGCAGTTCATATTTTGATGGTATCACGTGATAATGCTCCATCACATGTTTTAAATCTATTACGCAGTGCATATTGAACTGAAGCTTGACTTTAAAAAATGTAATCGCAAATCAAATCGCAATCGCAATATCTGTCAGAAAAATCGCAGTTAGATATTTCCCCAAATCGTTCAGCCCAAGCGTAGTGGACGCAGTGCACTTTATTGTGCTAATCCGCGTTCGATTCCCGGGCACGGCGGATTACCGCCATCAGCGTCGGTTATCTAAGAGCGCTTTTCTGCTCCGCCTCGCTTCAACTCGCACTTGAACCGGCGTGGTGAAGTATGGCCAAATCTTCCCCCACCCCCTCCTATGTAAACCCTTCGAGTGAGGTGGATAATTGCTTCGAGAAGGCCGTGGGCAATAATAGCTTCCGCTTGGGGAGAATTTCATCCAGCAGTGGTCTTGACAAAGGGGCTGTAGATGAATGATATTCATTTTTAAAATGCACGGATGACGATTGAAGGCCGTGAGCTTGGAGTTATGTATTTTAATTCGAACCAAAATTGGTGGATAACATTATTCCGTAACAGGGTTGGTGGATAACGTTATTCCGTAACAGGGTTGGTGGATAACGTTATTCCGTAACAGGGTTGTACACGACTAGGAGTGCACTGGGATGGTCCTGCAGACGAATGTCTTGGCTCGGTCATGTCCACGTCGTTGTTTAGTTCGCTCTGTGACCGCAGCAGACTGCCTCACCACCGATACAGTGCGGTTGGTCATGCGTGCAAGTCACATACGGAACCACGCCACCCACGTCGCCTCTGCGCCACCAGTGCTGCTTCCACCACCAGTACCACCACCAAAGACAAAGATCCCCCGTATAGCCTCAACAGGGCAATTGCTGTTAATGAGTAGCACCGATTAGGGCCGGAACGACACACAAGGAGGTGGGTGGCCAGCACCACGCCCGGCCGCCTTTGTCTTCCCAGTGGCGATGTTCACACACCGCACCAGGTACTCATTTGCGGCTGAGTCGACCTAGGCGGGGGACCGGGACCGGTTCAGATGATCGTTCTAACCGCTACACTACCGCTCCCCAATCACCACCACTACCAGCACCACCACCACTACCCCCCACATCGTCTTGTTCACGTCCACACTACCATAATCATCATCATCATATCCTTCCATCTTCATCACCACCACCACGACTGCCCGTATAATGAAATATTATCACCACCACCACCACCATCATCATCATCATATATCACCAATAACTCTACCACCATCACCACAACCAGGACCTCCCATACATGTGCTTCACTCCATCACCACCACCTCCAACATCACCACCAACACAAGCTACGCCAGAATTCCTCCGCACAACAAAGACAAAGATCCCCCGTATAGCCGTTAACAGACTTGGGGCAACCACCATCACCACCATCACAACGTTTACATGGACCACCACCCCTCCACCCTAACTCAACCACTAACCACACTTACTCGACCACCACTATCACCACCCTTACTCCACCACCACTGCTTTTACTCTACCACCACCGCCCTTACTCCACCATCACCCTTACTCCACCACCCTTACTCCACCACCACCCTTACTCCACCACCACCACCACCCTTACTCCACCACCACCACCCTTACTCCACCACCACCCTTACTCTACCACCACCACCCTTACTCCACCACCACCACTACCACCACCCTTACTCCACCACCACCACCCTTACTCCACCACCACCCTTACTCCACCACCACCACCACCCTTACTCCACCATCATCCTTACTCTACCACCACCACCCTTACTCTACCACCACCCTTACTCTACCACCACCCTTACTCCACCACCACCCTTACTCCACCACCACCACCACCCTTACTCCACCATCATCCTTACTCTACCACCACCCTTACTCCACCACCACCCTTACTCCACTACCACCCTTACTCTACCACCACCCTTACTCCACCACCACCACCCTTACTCCACCACCACCCTTACTCTACCACCACCCTTACTCCACCACCACCACCCTTACTCTACCACCATCACCACCACCCTTACTCTACCACCACTGCGCTTACTCTACCACCACCACCCTTACTCTACCACCACCCTTACTCCACCACCACCCTTACTCTACCACCACCCTTACTCCACCACCACCCTTACTCTACCACCACCACCACCACCCTTACTCTACCACCACCACCCTTACTCTACCACCACCCTTACTCCACCACCACCCTTACTCTACCACCACCACCACCACCCTTACTCTACCACCACCACCCTTACTCCACCACCACCCTTACTCCACCACCACCACCCTTACTCTACCACCACCACCCTTACTCCACCACCACCATCATCGCGCCGTCCACGCCTCCTCCTCCCACGCGCCGCGTGGAATGCGCGCCCCGCACCCCCACACGCACGCGCGCGCGCACCACTGACACACGGCACGCAGGGCACGGCACGCTGCTGCTGCCGCCACCACCACCACTCATGTGCACGGGGCATCAACCCAGAGATCACGACTGTGCTGTAGCGCTGCGTGTCCGTTCGCGGAGGTGGTGGTGGGGGTGGGGGGGGGAACAATTACGGCTAATTACCGGGCAAAACGAACGCGATAGCACGACCATCAACACTCAAGTATCGAGGTTCATCTTCGCGTGATAGTACACCCCCGTCAGTTGCGCGTTGCGCTCATTGCTCGCGCTGATACAAGCGGACAGAATGAGGCGCGGATGAGGGTAGAGCGAGCGGTCGGCGGCGAGTTTTAAGGTTGGGCTGCTGCGATTCATGAGCGAGCGTGCGTGGCTGGCGGCGGTGGTGGGGAGGAGGAGGAGGAGGATCGCCGCTGTCGCCGGGAGAGAGATCGCATCGCGCGTTCGGGGAGAGAGCTGGGATCAGGGCTCAGCCGAGCAGGGGTCTCCGTCGATTCGCCGGTGAGTTCTGAGAGGCGCAGGTGAGATGTGAAGAGAGAGAGAGTGGGAGAGTCGTGCCGGGGATGGAGAGAATGGTGGGATGGGGATTGAGTCGGGTGGGTGACGAGTCGTGGTGTTGAGTCCCGGTTGGAGTAAAAAAAAAGTGAGTGGCTCCATTGCAGTGTGCAACACGGTTTTGTGTTTGCGTGTAAAGTGTGTGGTATGTGTAAGTGGTGTGGAGTGTGTGCGGTGGGTGAGTGTGTGGTGTGTGTTATTGGTGTGTGTGTGGTGTGTGTGTGGAGTGTGTGTAGGTGTGGGTGTGTGAGTGGTGTGTGTGTGGTGTTAGTGTGTGTATGGTGTGTGCGGTGTGTGTGCGGTGGGTGGGTGTGGTGTGTGTTATTGGTGTGTGTGTGGTGTGTGTGTGGAGTGTGTGTAGGTGTGGGTGTGTGAGTGGTGTGTGTGTGTGGTGTTAGTGTGTGTATGGTGTGTCCGGTGTGTGTGCGGTGGGTGGGTGTGGTGTGTGTTATTGGTGTGTGTGGTGTGTGTGGAGTGTGTGTAGGTGTGGGTTAGTGGTGTGTGTGGTGTTAGTGTATGTATGGTGTGTGTGGTGTTAGTGTGTGTATGGTGTGTGCGGTGTGTGTTATTGGTGTGTGTTATTGGTGTGTGTGGCGAGCGGTAGTGTAGCGGTTAGCGCGCTGCTCTACGGACCTGGCGACCCGAGTTCGATTTCCGCTCACGATCGACACCGGTGACGATGATCTGAACCGGTTCTAGGCCCCCCGCTAGGTCGACTCAGCCTCAAATGAGTACCTGGTGCGGTGTGTAAACATCGCCACAGGGGAGACAAAAGCGGCCGGGCGTGGTTCTGGCCACTCACCCCCTCGTGTACCGTTCCGGCCATCATAGGTGCTCGCTAACAGCACTTGCTCCTACAGTCTGTCAATATGCACGGGGGATCTTTGTCTACATGGGTGTATGTTGAGGCGTTCGTGGACGTGAATATGAGGGTCGCAGACACCCAATTTCGATTCCCGGCCACGGCTTCAAGACCGCTGCGTGACATCTGACTGGTCCTGTGCATCCTCTAGCTCGACTCAACCTTAAATGAGTAGCACCTGGTTTCGGTGTGTTAACACCAGCGCTGGGGAGACAAAGGTGGCAGGGCGTGGTGCTGACCACACTACCGACTGATGCACCGTCCCGGCGTGCATTGTACACAGGGCTGTGTACACGTGTGAGTCGTGTCCATTGTTCTCTACGCGACTGCTACGAAGCCAACACGATGGCCAAACAATCAATTTGACGTACACTCGCACAAGCGTGCGTTCGTTTATCGTCTAGATTACGTGCATGTACTTACCTCCCTTACACGTGCTAGCCTACGCGTAAACACTCACTCATTACCACGGGTCTGCTCGCAAGTGCACCCTTTGTACACACTGACGTGTGAAGCCAACGTTGTTTTGGCATGTGCCTGGAACCGTTGGGCCATCTCCGGGGCCCAACGTTGCTTAGCATCTCGATTTTGGCTGCCACTCCGCCGTTAGTCGCGGCCGCCAGCAGTCATCCCTTCGAGTTCACGTGACGTGCCCGAGCCCGCGCTTACTCTTCTCGACACGCGGTCGATGTGATGATCATGATGATGTCTGTGACTCGCGTGGACCCTCTTCCAGTCCATGTTGCTCCTCTTCCTCCCTGATCAGTGCGGGTTGGTGGAAGCGGGGAGCATAGAGAGTAGAGCACAACAACGGCTGCTTGGCTTCCGAGATCTGGTTGCATTCTGGTTGATTCGGTCACGGGCAATTACACGTGTACAGTACTATGTTGTGCAGTATTGAAAAGTGCAGGTACTAGTAATTGTTTTTTTCAAATGAAGGTCCCAACTTTTATGTGTGACAGAGTGCTTAATTAGATTGCACAGCCTCCAAACACACCGGATGCAACATTTTGGCAGCATACACCCACTGATGAACACCGTCACACGGTGGGTATTCGTGTGTAACGTTAAGTGCATATACTAGATGCTGTGGTGGGTATCATCTGAGTAAGAGCTCTGTGGGTGGTGGCAGCGCAGTGCAATACTAACCTGAGCGAGCCGAGTTTGATTCCCGGCCACGGCTAGCATCAGTACCGAGTGACATCTGAACCGGTCCTGACACCCAGTCCACCTTCCCTTCAACTACCTACATTGACCGGCACGGTGAAGTATGGTCAAACAACTCCCCATCCGTGACAAGGCACAGGGAAGCTGTCTCCAGCAGGGGTTTGACAGAGGGCTGTAACTTCACTATCAGTAAATTATAACGATCCAATAATATTCTAAAGTGCAATCGTATAACACGGTGTATAGCCAATTATTGTTTTTTTGTTGTTGCATATTTGGTGTAGCGTTTCAGTGGGATTACATTGGTAGGACAGCATAGTTCTGGGATGGCTCGAGTATTATTTCAGTATAGAAAATAGATTGGTGACAGGCTGACTGCAGATTGTGACTCCTGCCTCCCTCGTATTTGTGGGGCTGTAACCCTGGGCACTCCGCTCTCGAGATAAATAAAATTAATCAGAAAAAGCAAAAAAAAATAGTCTAATTTCCGTTGATCAGCTGTGGAAGTTCCATATCGCTATGGCAGGGTGGTGTAATTTTAGTGATAACGGAGCCAATGACATCAACAATCGTTGGAGGTACTTTCATTGCACGATCAATAATTATGATTTATAAGTGGTTTCTTTGGGAGAGACCGCGGAGGGTATAATGTCAATGTTTTTTTTAACTCTCACCCTTCACTTATCCGACAACTTGATTTGATTGGCTGTGTTGGGTGGTGGAGGATTATAATTAAAACAAATAAAATATTATACTTACACAATCAAACGCAAAAGAAACTGATTATAAATTATAGTAATCAATAATGGTATCCCTAATAGAGGTTTTTTGGGTTAGATCGCGTAAATATATAAATGTGTCGTTAAACCCACCACCACCCTACGCAGCCAATTGGTAAGATTTGTCACGTAAACAGAACGTGGCCAATTCGTCACTAGCACAGCACACCGGTGTGTTGGAGAGCCAAGTCACAACATTTACAGTCCGAGTACGACGTTTCGCCAGTAATTACAACCGGCATCATCAGGCGCAGCCAGATTTTCTGGAGAAATCCTCCTGTTCAGTTCCTTAAAGAGGGATATGTGATGACGTCACTTGTGATGATGACGTCACTTGTGATGACGTCATTAAACCTACTAATAGTACGGTCATCATCGTGATAAATTTATCGCGTGTAATTCACACACGCACGTTCCAATGCGAACCATCCAGCAACACGTCCACAGTTGCGTTCTAGGAGTAGTGGCGCAGCAGTTAGCGGGCTTGCACACGGATGCCGTGAGCCTAACCAATTCAAAACCTGGCAACACGGGTTCGATTACCGGCCGTGGCTGACGTGAGTGGCGTGGTATCTAAACCGGTCCTCGGCTCCACTGCGTGGTGAAGTTTGCTCATACAACCTTCCTTAAATGGCATGGGGGGGGGAGGCCATCATCCAGCAGTTGATTTTTAGTATCCTGCTGGGGGTGGTGCACCCAGTTTCCTACGTTACCGCACTCGATAGGAGCCAACATAACGCGGTCAGGATGGCTAAAACTAAACTGCTCAAACGAGACTATTTTTTTTATTTTACCGGGTAAGGCCCCACTGAGCGATGTAGCTCTTTTTAAGAAGCGACCTGGCTATCAATAATGATAGCCCAAAGAAAGTGGCTGTTCACGTGGAAATTTATAGCAGCCAAATTATTGAGTGCACGTTGCTTCTCAATGTTGAGGGATAAACCGGAGGGCCCGGAGAAAAATCCACGCGACCACGGGGGAGAGAGACACCGCAAACTCCAAATTTACAGGCGTCAGGGTCGGGATCGAATCGACGACCTCCTGTATACCAGACGAGGTAGTTAACATCTCGCCACCGTGGCGCGTCTGATGATCCAGCACTCCCTAATTCGCTCCAGTCACCCACTCATCGGTGGTTAGTTGCCCTCCTTATCACTCATCTATAGCTACGGCCATGGATACTGGTCCTGTGAAGTTCGCTCATTAATTCCTCCACCCACTGTGTTCAACCACCATCGCCACCACCACACTGTAGGTCACAACAACACACTTCCTCATGCACTCACCCGCCCACTCACTCATTCACTCACCCAGTCACTCGCCCACCGACCCACTCATTCGCTCACCCACCTAACTCACTCACTCACCCATCCACTCATTCGCTCACCCACCCGCTCACTACACCGCAGGTCACAACGCTTCTCTTTCTGCTGCTTCCCTCGCACCGCTCCACTTTGCAATTTCCCTCCAATCATCGTCTCCCTAATGTCTTAAAACCTTGCGCAATTAAAAGAAGCGTGTGACACTGCTATCTATTGCGACTTATTTAACAGTGCTGTTTGTGGCTAACCTTTTGGCCTTTTGGGCCTGTGCTCAATCATAACCCTGTTTTTTTTTAAAAGGGCTGTGAATTTTCATTACTATAATTTTACGAACAAATGGAACGACATTATTTTTACTATAAAACCACTGCAAATATATTTCTTTAAAATGTATCGAATATAAACATAATGTGTTAGACCACGACTGATACAATTGATCGACCCATGATGATAATAACTTTTAACGTATAGAGACGGCTACAAAAATACTTAACGCCCAGGAAATTAATCCTAAATCATGATAAACAAATATTTTTCCAGCCTGTTTTTTAAGGCAGGCACTGAGTTCGTTTCGCTGTCTCCCTTCCAACAGAACCGTGTTCCATAGAAGACACAACACGCGCTAACATACACATATATAACATCATTTACTTCCAGCCCTTTGCAAATCTACTGCTAGTGAAATGGCTCCACACGCCATCATCACGGTCTTTTGACCATACTTGACCACACTGGTGAGCGCCGCTAGTGAAAGGGGGATGGGGTGGTCAGCAGTCGCTCGCTGTCGATGCGAACCGTGGCCAGGTCGCCGGGGTCATAGTGCAGGTCGCCGGGGTCATAGTGCAGGTCGCCAGGGTCATAGTGCAGGTCGCCGGGGTCATAGTGCAGGTCGCCGGGGTCATAGACAGGTCGCCGGGGTCATAGTGCAGTGCCATAATCACCGGCCTACTCCACTTTGCGCAATTCTCAATTTAAAAAAAAACAATGGCCATGCATAGCTTTGCCGCACTTTTGTGAAGAGTTTTGAGGTTTTGTGAGGTTTTCCTGTAATAAGGCGGGGGTGGGGTGGAGGAGGTGGGGTGCATGCATGCAGGATCCGTTCAGCTGTCACTCGGCCACTGATGTTATCCGCGGCTGGATATTGTACTCAGCTCGCCGTGTCAAGAATGTATTGCGTTAACCGCTGTGCTCGTCTAACAACAACAATACGAATTTGATTAGCATTCACATTGCCGATGCTAAGTACTAATTCTTAAGGCTCATCATTGCGACTGCTGTTGTTGTTGTTGTTGTTTGTTTTTGTCGTCCTTCGCAGCTCAACGCGGGACAAAGGAATCTCAACGTCTTGCTGCCCCGGGCGAGAGACACCAACCCAACCGGCCGCTTGAACCACCACCCCCCACCACTCCACCCTCGCGGTCTCCCTACCCCCACCCCTTCCTCCCCGCACCCCACGCCGTGCCCTCGGGGGTGCGCCCCTAAACCGATGAGGAATGACCCTCGTGCTGCCCGTGAGCGGGGTCGGGGGACTGCCTGCAGAGCCGGCCCCAGCCTGGGAGGCCCCCTCGGAGTTCGGACAGCAGCCGTGCGAGCGAACGCACCCCGACGGCCACACTCCCGGTATGGCCACGTACGGCGCGAAAGAAGTTCAGCACGCGTACACACATACATACATACGTGAGTCACCTTCTCATCACCCCCGTCCCGTCGCCCCACTCCCCCAACCCCCGACCCTGTAACCCGTGAGTCACACAGGATGCGCGATTTGCGTGCGCGATGATGAGTGCGGTCATTGGGGGGGTGGCGGTGGTGAGGAATGTGTGGGGGAGTTGGCGTAAGCAGTTGGTGCGCCTACGTATGGTGCGAAAGAAGTTCAACATATATACACACACAACATACATACACTGTACTACAATGAACTAGGGCAAACCGGGTGACCTCCTTGGTTTGATTACCAAAGACAAGGCGACCCAAACTATTTAACACACCGCACTGGGTACTTATTAAATGACTGAGTCGAGCTAGGGGAGGCCCAGGGCGGGTTCAGATATCACTCGCCACTAAGGTCAATTGTGCTGGGTTTGTAAAGCAGGGCACAAACGTGATGCACACGTGGACACACCCACGCCAAATAATTATATTGTTAAACCAGGGTTTGAGATCCCATTGAGATTAAATAAATATTAGGGTTGAGCTTCATATTTAAACATTTCAGGTGTAAAACATTTTTAGCAAAATTGGATATGTTCTCCGATTTGTGGATGATTTACATCGCATACCAATTTAACGTGCCAACAAAAGTGACGTCAACCGATGCCACGTGGCACCACTTTTGGAGGGAAAAGTGTGGATGCGACACCATGTTAGTGATGTCATTTCCTGCAATGCCATATTAGTGATGTCATTTCCTGCGGCGTTAAGTTATCGGATTATTCCGAAAAAAAAAAGAAAATAAATTCCAAATGATCTAAAATGTTGGATCTAGGTCTGAGTTTCAAATTATTATGTTCATAAATATAAAAATTGGGAACACATTCCTGAAAAAATAAAAATATTCTCACGAATGCAAGGCTTGCCCTATAGTAATTTCTACTTTGATAATGCATCACATCCTCACTAAATCTCTTAGATTCGTTCAGGATGCTTCTGCTTTTCAGAGTAAAGCAGAGTGCCAGGGGAAAGCCCCACACGTCTAAGGGGACAACATTCTCTATATATTTATAAATGTAACCTGCGCACTGAATATATATAGACCACTGTTTGATATAACGTTGCAGTGCCGAACTCACTGCACTATGAACCCGGCTACCTGCATTCGATCGCTAACCATGGCTAGCATCGGTGGAGAGTGATATATGAACCAGTCCTGGGCCTCCCCTTGGTCGACTCAGCCTTAGATGAGTACCTCGTGCGGTGTCAAAATATCAGCACTGAGGAGAGAAAGGCGGTTGGGCGTGATGCTAACCACACCACACCCCCTCATGTGCTGATGTTGACCTCAATAGATTAACAGCACTTGCCCCAACAGTCTAAAGGTAATACGGCATTTGTTTGCATGTGTGCCTGTGTGTGCATGTATTCTGTGTGAATTGTGGGGAGCGGTGGTGTAACGGTTGGCGCGATGCGCTATGATGAACCCGGCGTCCCACTCACGGCCGACACCAGTGGCGTTTATCTGAACCGGTCATGGGTCTTCGCGAGGTTGACAAAATGAGTACCTGGTGCGGTGTGTAGTAAACATCGCCACTGGGGAGACAAAGGCGGCCGGGCGTGGTGCTGGTCACCCACCCCCCTCGTGTGCCGTGCCAGCCTTCACAGGTGCTCGGTCACCGCACTTGTCCCAATAGTGTGTTCAGGCTATATGGAGATTTTTGCCTCTTTTTATGTCTGCATATCTATGTGTATGTACGAATTGTGTGATGACCCTGTGTATGTGTGTATGCATAATCCATGTGTGTATCCACGTCTATGCGTGTGTACGTATTGTATGGTGACTGTGTATGTGTGTATGCATAATCGATGTGTATATGTGTGTATCCACGTCTATGCGTGTGTGTCCATGTTGTATGATGACCGTGTGTGTGTGTACGCATAATTATCCATGCGTATGTGTGTATGCATATCCGTGTCTGTATCCACGTCTATGCGTGTGTCCGTGTTGTATGATGACCGTGCGTGTACGCATAATTATCCATGCGTGTGTCCACGTCTATGCGTGCGTACGTATCTGTACGATGACCCCCAACGTGCGCGCATGTGTGGGGGTTCAACGACTCTGGCAATGTGCCGATGACGCCTGCCATGCCTCGGCGTTGTCGCTCGACGCCGCCGCCGCCGCCCACGTGTGACCTCCCGCGTGCACGCGGTGTTGGCTGCCCGCTCCGCAGAGTCGGCGTGCGGCGAGCGCGTGGCCGTGCCGGCTCAAGGCGCCACCGAGATCCCGACTCTCAAGCGGAAGCACCGAGACTGTGCCCACCACGAGGGACACATGCCAAGCTGGCTGCATGGGGTACGTGCGCGATACAAATAATAATTTGGATGATTTTTTTTTTCTTCTATATATGCGTACACGAATATGCGTGAATGTATGCACGGTACGCCACAAGGGCGCTATGGTGGCGAGATGTTGATTACATCGCCTGGTGAGCAGGAGGTCGTGGGGTCGATCCCAACCCTGACGCCTGCTGCATATTTGGAGTTTGCGTGTCTCTCTCCCTCATGGTTACGTGGATTTTTTTCTTCCGGGTCGTCTGGTTTTTAACTCAACATTTAGAAACACGCGTTTACATTATTTTGCTGCTCAAAATGTCCACATGGTAAGCCACTTCGTTGAGCTATCGTTTGTGATAGCCAGGTCGCTTATGAAAAATATCGTTTTAGTTCAGTGGGCCTTACCTGGTAAAATAAAAAATATATAATATATTTATTGGCATGATAAACTTTTCTCGAGCTCACTCTTGTATCCTTTATCATATTGTTTGTTGTTGATGTAACTCGCGAACCCCCTCACCAATTCTGGACATCTGCGACAAAGAGCTTCAAATCCTTCGTCAGATTCCTCTTCCAGGATAAATAACGACTCTTGATTCACGCCGGTGCGTCTCACACACACGTGTGACTCCCACCAAAGATCACCCGTGTAGCCTTAGCAGACTGTTGGGGCAAGTGCTGTTGGCAATCACCTTTGACAGGCCGGCACGGCACACGAAAGGGGGTGCCTGGCCAGCGCCACGGCCGGCCGCCTTTGTCTCCCTAGCGGCGATGTTGTACACATCGTACCGGGTACTCATTTGAGGCTGAGTCGACCTAGGGGAGGCCCATGACCGGCTGGATTAGATAATCGTCACCGGGGTTGTTGGCCGTGAGCGGGAATCGAATTGGGGTCGCTGGGTTTGTAGCGGAGTGCGCGAAGCCACGGCGACACCGCTCCCCACGTGTCAAACATAACATACATTCTGACACGTAGGCTTTCGCGACCAATATTATTCATAATAAAGGCTTTTGGGTTACATCGCGTGAGTATAAATGTTATTGGCTTGATGCTGGAGGTAATTACCAGCGAAACGTCGAACTCTAATTGTAAATGTTGTGGATTTACTCTCCAACACACTGGTGGGCTGAAGTAACTAATTGTCTGTGTCGGGTGGTGGAGGGTTACGACACATGTATACTTACACGATTGAACCCAAAAACATTTATTATGCATAACATACATACTCATATGCATGCACCCAAGCTGTGACGGTGATACCACCTACATGGGAGAATCTACTGTCCCCACAAATGAATATCCATTCATAGGCCAATATTTTCATCCAATCACAGCTCTTTACTTGGTTGCACGTCCCCGTCTCATCCAATCACAGGCACTCCATTGGGCCCTTTCCAATTCTCACTTCCCCAACCGACCAGTTGATGAAATGTGAAATGAACGCCACTACATTTAGATGTCGTGTAAGCTGAAGAGGTTATAAAGGCTTAAGCGTTCTGTTTTAAAGGGTTACACGTGCGCCAAGGGTTAAGGGTTTGGGGGTTTAAGGTTAGGGTTAAGGTTGGGATTTGGGGTGAGAGGATAGGCTTACGGTTAAGTGTTAGGATGAGAAGTTTGGGGTTTAGGGGTTATGGTGATGGCTTGGTATTAGTGTTTAGGGGTCAGGATTATGGGTTAGCGGTTTAGGAGTTAGATGTATGGTTGTGGACATTGTACCTAAGACTGACTGACTTACCGTCCATCTGTGGGGACGCAAGTCTCCGTCGAAGTAAATAGTGGTACACACACACCATGTACATCGTGCAGACATGTACGTACATGCACGTACACACAATTACACCACACGCACACACAATACACACCTGCACAAAGACAGATCCCCCGTGTAGCCTACATAGACAATTCGCATAAGAGCTGTTAGCGCCCAACCTATAAAAGCTGGCACGGTACACGAGGGGTAGAGTGGCCATAACTACGGCCATCCGCCTTTGTCTCCCCCGTGCTGCTGTATTACACACTGCACCACTCACTCCTTTATAGGGGAGGCCCAGCACAGTTCAGATATTCACCACTGATGTTGTTCGCCTTGGCCGGGATTTGAAGCCACTGCTCCCACCGCTGAGCAAAACACGCGCATACATACAGACATCAATGCACGTACATATACACATGTATGTAACGTATTTTTAAATCTGTCCGCCTGCCCACGGTCCCACCGCCGTCGTGTCTCGTACGCGAGGCATCCACGCGCGCGCAATGCACCGCGACACCGAGTTACGGAATGACGCGCACACGGAAGTTTACCGTGCGGAGCTTTGCACCGTGGGGGTTCGCTGAATGGCCAGGGAAAGGATTTCGTGCGTTATTGGGGTAGTGGTGGAGGCAGCCCTCTCTCTCTCTCTCCGCACGCGTCCGTCTCCCAAACCCCACCCCCCGGCCTGTCTGTCCTCCGCCCGCTCTTAATAAGAAAATAAATGCGCGTTGCATGGTAATGCCTCCGTGGTGTCACGTGTGTCGCGTTAAGCAGATGCCTATGCAGAATTTATTTTTTGGGGCCTTGCTTCCCTCCATTCACCCCCCCCCCTCACTCCTCCTCTTCTTACCGCACCACTTTTAATTTTAAACTCCTCGTGAGATGACAGAAGGGATGTCGACCAAAGACAGTGATGTCGTGCGGATGAGAGAAAGAGAGAGAGAGGGGGAGAGACGTAGATGAGAGGCGTGCGGTGAGATGAGAGAAGGGATGTGCGGACGAGATAGAGATGACAGAGACTAATTGGCTTTTTATGTTAATTAGCGCGCGTTAATTTATTTATTTAGGATTTGCATTTGAGCCGATGTTTGGGTCACCCGTAATTTTCTTCACGAATCCCGGGGCCCCTTTAGCTGCTAGGGGCCCTGAGCTCTCGCGTGCCTGGTCGGTTTATACCGAGAGCCACCAATGAAGAAAAGGATTCCCCCACCCCCGTATAGCCTGTGTACAGTTGGGTCAAGTGCTGTTTCCCTGCGTGGTGTGACCCGCATCTAACCGATAACGGCTCTTTAATGTATCTGATTTAATAACCGTGTTTAATTCATGCAGTGTTTTCTATTTCTCACGGGACGTGGTCGCTCGGCTCTCAATTTAGATTGTCTTTTTTTTTCTTGCCGCGTTTAGTTTTGATTCTTTTTCAATTTGGTGACCCAGGAGGTCACAGAGATGAGACTGTCCTGGTCTGAGCGTGACGTCGATGGTGTTGTTGATGATGATGATGATGACGATCGTCCTTATTTGCGATCACGAGTGATGATGATGATGATGATCACAAACACCACCGCTATGATGATGATGACAGCTCTCATTGTTGATACTCGAGATGATAATGACGGGGGTGATGGTAATATTAATAATAAAAATAACGTCGATAAGTAGGGTGTAGGTGTTGCTGATGATTACCGTTGCGCTTGGTTACCCAGTAAATCTTCACCGAGTCTCACGACTCGAGTTTTCAGAAGATTCCTGCCAAGTGTCCGGGGGTGGGGTGGAGGGGCACGAAGTTTGCCGTGTCGAGATTCCAACCCAGAAATTTGCCGGCAATTAATGAGACGACTGCGCAAACAGTTGCCTGCAATGACGACCGCCAAACTAACAACGATGCCTTCGCCTCTCCCCACCCCCCCAATCCAGGGCCTGTGCGTACCTGAGGAGCGCCTGCGCCTGCACAACCTCTCCATGCGCAAGCTGCAGCTGCTGGATGACCCGGAGGCGCTGCTCCGCCGCTCCGTTCTCATCAACAACCTCGTGAGGCGCCTCCGCCTGGGCGCTGCCGCGGCCGCCGCGGCCGCCGCTGCCGCCTCCTCCTCCTCCTCCTGCTTCCCGCCTCCCTCGCCGGCCCAGGGCTGGCCGGCACCCGCCGCAGGTCCCTTTGCCGGCGGCTGGGAGTCGGCCTGCCTGGGGCCCTGGGGGCCCGGTCCCTGGACGTCGCAGGTCCCCGCGGCCCACTACCACTACCCCGAGACCCCGGGGGGTCTGGCCGTGTCGAGCAAGAGGCCCCGGGTGGAGGACGAGCCGGACGGCGCGGTTGGCAGCGGCGACGGGGAGGAAGATGCGGAAGAGGATGAGGAAGAGGAGGTAGAAGAAGAGGAAGAAGATGAGGAGGATGAGGAGGAAGAGGAGGATGAGGAGGAGGAGGATGAGGAGGAGGAGGGTGGGGAAGGCGGTATCATTTCGACATCCCGAGCGCAGCACCACCAACAACACCCACACAATCAACATCATCAACCTCATCAACCTCATCACCATCCTCCGCACATGCGCTTTTACCCAGTGCTCAATGCGTGCGGCGGCGGAGGAGGTGGAGGCGGACACTGCCCGGCTGCCAATCAGAACCACTACCATTACCACCACCACCATCACCACCACCATCACCACCACCATTACCAGCAGCAGCAGCAGCAGCAGCAAGGGCGAGGCAGCCTCGCGGACACGGCGCTGGAGAGCGGAGCGGGAGATTACAACGGCGCGAGTGGCATTCCCGTGACGAATCACAGCTACGGGACGTGCGCCCCCTACACGGGGTGCGGATTCCCACTCATGTCCACACAGCAGCAGCAGCAGCAGCATCATCATCAGCAACATCATCATCAGCAGCAGCATCATCATCAGCAGCATCACCAGCAGCAACAGCATCATCATCATCAGCAGCAGCAGCAGCTGCCGCAACAGCAGGACGAACTTCGACTACAGGGTTTAGAGCATCAGTCCCGAGATAACCATCCGCATCATCATCACCACCACCATCCGGATCATCATCAGCAGCAGCAGCAGAATAACAATAATCATCACCAGCACCACCATCATCAAGATGTCCGCAGGCACCTCCGCGCTTACACACAGCCGTCGACGCGGTGCGCTCAGGAACAGCACGGCGATGTGTGGCGCCGCGATTGCGTCCGCGACTGCTCCCGCGACGGGCAGGCGGCGGCGGCGGCGGCGGCGGCGGCGGAGGAGGAGGAGGAGGAGGAGCCGCGCCGCTCGCCGGCGCAAGCTCCCGGCTGCGGTGCGCTCGCAGCCGAAGCCGCCGACCCGCGCCAGTGACGTGCGGGGCGATGGTCACGGAACGACGTCCGCGGTTCGTCGGCCCTCTCGCGCGCGCTGTGCGCGGCACTGCGAGCCGAGGTAGCGGATCGCGAGTTTGACTCCCGGCCCCGTGGCTGCGGCGTCATCGTCGCTTCACGTCGTCGAGGGATGAGCGGCGGCGGCGGCGGCGGCGGCGCAGCGGGGTTTCTTGCGCACTGCGCTGCTGCGAACACAGTGACCGGAGACTGATTGCGGGTCACAGGGTGACGTCGGTGGCGGGCGATACCTGCACTGGTTACGCGCAGCACCACCCCTGCACTGACCGGCGTGGTGAAGTATGGTCAAATAACCCCCATGACCGACGTGGCGTGGGGAGGCCTTCGTCCAGCAGTGGATTGACAAAAGGGCTCTTAATCAGTACGTGTTTTCTATCTTACACAGGTGACGCATCACCAGCAATGGTTAAGGGATCATGTTAGTTGGCGGTCCTAAGCATAGCAGGCGGGTAATTCCACATTCCCATGGCGGGACTCGGTCTCTCCGTGAGACGACCACCGTTTACATCCTGCAAAGTGGTACTCATTTTATCAACCCCTACGGAATGATAGGCTGAGTCGACCCCTCGACTGGTCAATTGAAGTGGCAACTTTCTGAATGCTGTGTCCAAACTGCATTTCCAGACCAAATCCATTTACATATTGCATACGTGTACATACTGTATAGACACATCAGTATAGAAACATCATTATAGACACATCAGTATAGAAACATCAGTATAGACACATCAGTATAGAAACATCAGTATAGACACATTACTTTCGGGACATCAGTATAGGCACATCAATATAGACACATCAGTATAGAAACATCAGTACAGACACATCAGTATAGACACATCAATATAGACACATCAGCATAGGCACATCAGTATAGACACATCAGTATAGAAACATCAATATAGAAACATCAGTATAGACACATCAGTATAGGCACATCAGTATAGAAACATCAGTATAGACACATCAGTATAGAAACATCAGTATAGAAACATCAGTATAGACGCATCAGTATAGACACATCAGTATAGGCACATCAATATAGAAACATCAGTATAGACACATCAGTTTCGACACATCAGTATAGACACATCAATATGGAAACATCAGTATAGACACATCAGTATAGACACATCAGTATAGGCACATCAATATAGAAACATCAGTATAGACACATCAGTATAGACACATCAGTATAGACACATCAGCATAGGCACATCAGTATAGACACATCAGTATAGACACATCAGTATAGACACATCAGTATAGAAACATCAGTATAGGCACATCAGTATAGAAACATCAGTATAGACACATCAGCATAGAAACATCAGTATAGGCACATCAATATAGACACATCAGCATAGAAACATCAGTATAGGCACATCAATGTAGACACATCAGTATAGACACATGAGTATAGACACATCAATATAGACACATCAGTATAGACACATCAGTATAGGCACATCAATATAGACACATCAGCATAGAAACATCAGTATAGGCACATCAATATAGAAACATCAGTATAGACACATCAGTATAGGCACATCAGTATAGACACATCAGTATAGGCACATCAGTATGGACACATCAGTATAGGCACATCAGTATATGCACATCAGTATAGACACATCAGTATAGCCACATCAATATAGAAACATCAGTATAGGCACATCAGTATAGGCACATCAGTATGGACACATCAGTATAGGCACATCAGTATAGGCACATCAGTATAGACACATCAGTATAGGCACATCAGAATAGACACATCAGTATAGGCACATCAGTATAGGCACATCAGTATAGAAACATCAGTATAGGCACATCAGTATAGAAACATCAGTATAGGCACATCAGTATAGACACATCAGTATAGGCACATCAGTATAGACACATCAGTATAGGCACATCAGTATAGAAACATCAGTATAGGCACATCAGTATAGACACATCAGTATAGGCACATCAGTATAGAAACATCAGTATAGGCACATCAGTATAGAAACATCAGTGTAGGCACATCAATATAGGCACATCAGTATAGGCACATCAGTATAGGCACATCAGTATAGACACATCAGTATAGGCACATCAGTATAGACACATCAGTATAGGCACATCAATATAGGCACATCAATATAGAAACATCAGTATAGGCACATCAATATAGGCACATCAGTATAGACACATTACTATAGAAACATCACTATAGACATCACTATAGACATCACTATAGACACATCACTATAGACATCACTATAGATACATCACTATAGACATTACTATAGACATCACTATAGACACATCACTATAGACACATCACTATAGACATCACTATAGACATCACTATAGACATCGCTATAGACACATCACTATAGACATCACTATAGACATCACTATAGACATCACTATAGACATCACTATAGACATTACTATAGACATCACTATATACATTACTATGGACATCACTATAGACACATCACTATAGACACATCACTATAGGCATCACTATAGACACATCACTATAGACACATCACTATAGACACATCACTATAGACACATCACTATAGACACATCACTATAGACGTCAGTGGAGACATCCGTTGATGGTGCCACGGCTTAATATCGCACAGGACTTGCAATCCAGAGGCCACCCTTTGAACGCGATCTCCAGGCGCGGCAGCTGCAACGACGTTGCAAGTTTCTGAAATCCCCTTCCCCGCCTCTGTCCACCCAGCAGTAACCGATGGGTCGGTTGTGGTAGGGTAAAGTGTGAGCAGCACTCCTGCCAATGTCGAGGCGGTCTGGCCTGCGTGGAAGAGAAGACCAAGTGACCCTCTTAATTGGAGCACTGGCTCTTCTTGCCAGCAGTGTGACGTGAGCAGGCAGTTGCGGGGCTGCGCCTTTATCTGTAGGCAACGACCCGATTACGGTCAAATCGCGATGTGTGCAGCCCGGTGTCACGTGCGCTGTTTAGCACCACGCGAATGTCACTGTGGCAGAGGCTGGGTGTGCACTACCCCCCATACCGCAGAGGGTACCTTGAACAGGGTTGGGCTGTGGGAGTATCCTGCCCCTGTACGTATCCAAGGCACGTGGCACCCGAAGTGGCGAGCGGTGACCGTCCACTGCACGTGCTCGCCGTCTCGTCCTCTGCGTACGGGGGGGGGACGTCGGTCACGTGGCGGTCGAGGCTGTTCCCTGTGGACGTCACCGTCCGCGGGCAGAATCGCCGTCGGTCACGGCGTGCGCCTCGGTGCGGAGTCGCGCGCCCTCGACGCGCGCAACATTCTAACGGCTGCTTCATTGAGTTCGACGTCAATATAGAGAGAATTTGGGGAAATCTTTGTTTTTGGGCCGGAGGAAGAATCCGATGAGCTAAGAAGCTATTTTATTGTTTGTTACGTGCATCCAGTATGGGGCGGGTCAGCGAGTTACAGAACGGTAAAACAATGGTAAGCAAGTCACTCAATATAAATAAGTAATACATGGTTTCATTGCGGTAGTGGTATCGATGGAATTGTGACTTCGATTCATTAAAAATACATATATTTTTTTCTTAAATATATCGAAAAAGAATGCAGGTGCATTGTAGCGCCTCTAGTGGCTGCAGGGTTCACGCAAACAATTATTACGCGCAAGGGATACGCAGGGTGGCCCAAAAGTTAGGACACATAGGGTTATTATATTTATTGAAACAAAACTACCTAGGGTTATTTAATTTATTGTAACACATGTTCAAACCGACTTCCATTAACATTAATGCACCATGCATAAATTCACGTTTGAAATTCATTCAGGATACTTATTTTTTAAAAGATTACAACGTGTAATCTTTGAGCATTCATCAATTCTGTTTTGTCTCAATTCATTCAGGTTTCTTGGTTCAGTTTTGTAAATGTCATCTGAAAAGTAGGAACAAAAATGGATATTAATAGTGCCAAAATATTAAATATTAGCTTAAAGAAGAGACAATTGAAACGTTTTAATGCTAGCGTTAAAATAAATTAGATAACCCTATGTGTCCTGACTTTTGGGCCACCCCGTATTAAAACGCGCCTCGAGAATGATCGATTCATGTGGTGGATCGATTAATCTTAAGTGCGTTATATACACGGTCCATGGGGTCTATGTGCACAACTTATTCAGCCGAAATGTTTACGATTTTCTTTTTTATTTCATCATCATCAGCAGAATTTCTGTCAATAGCTTTGCATATTTTGATGAGAATCTGGAGACTCGAAAAATAACAACAATAATATTGTTATTATTGTTTTAATATTGGAAAATTTCAAATCGTTACATGAATGGGGAATTTTAACAAAAACACACATGTAGGTCGTTTTTTGACCTCAAAAGTTTCGAGAATGTTTTTTAATATTCCGCGTGTGTCTGTACTGGGGGAGACAAAAACGGCCGGGCGTGGTACTGGCTACACCACCCCTCCATCTGCCGTGCTGGACCTTAATAGGTGCTCGCTAACAGGCACTTGCCTCAACAGGCTGTTAAACGCTATGTTGGGGGAGGGTGGGAAATCTGTGTCTTTGAAGCACCGCGCTATGAACCGGGCCACCTGAGTTCGATTCCCGCCCATGACGACGGTGTGTTGTACGTACATGCTTGCGGTGTGTTAACATCTCCACTGGGGAGACAAAGGCGGCTGGGCGTGGTGCTGGCTACGCCACCCTCGTCCGCACAAGCCCCGTGCCCTCGTGTGCCGTACTGGTGTCACGTGGTAGATCTTCCCCGTCCCGGCCTTAATGGGTGCTCGCTAACGGCACTTGCCCCAACAGTCTAAAAGGCTACCCGGGGTATCTTTGTTTAGTGTGTGTGTGTGTGTGTAGCGGTGTTGTGGTGGTTCTCTTGCTGCACTGCAAACTCGAAAACCAGGGTTCGATTCCTGGCCACGCAAATACTCCAAACGTAGCCCGTGCCTCTGCTGGGTCTACTCAGCCTAAACATGAGCAGTGGCCAATATCAGCACAGGGAAGACAAAAGCGGCCAGGCATGCATGGTCCTGGCCACACCATCCCCTTCAGAAACGTGACCGTGGCCGGCCTTAATGGGTGCTCGCAAACAGCACTTGCCCCAATAGTCTAAAAGACTACCTTGGGTGTCTTTGTAATACGCAGGCTACAATGCATACTATACAATGCAGATAAGCCGATTGCTTTATGTAGCTGCATATAAATTGTATTAATAAGGTGACGTTTTGGGGCGATAACCCTTCTCCACGTTTTTTTCCTTTTCAGCCTCAGCTTCAAGAGCACTGCCCCACGCAGTTCCTGAAATTTTATACTGTATTTATCACAGTAATGTGTACAAACGTGTATATACTGTACATAAAACAATACAAAGGGGGACGGAGGGGGGGGCATTTTGTAAAGACTCTACCTTGCAAGGGAGGTCATGGAACCCGAGGACCTCTCTGCGTCTTGAAATAAAAGGACGCGTGTTGATACACACACCGGGTGTGCGTGCTTACTCATTCACGTGAGGCAGATGCGGGCAGTGGGTCACGCTGCCCAGAGACAAACCGTGGAACGTAAAGCACGTGGTGTGTACGCCGTCTTTCCCCCCAGCACCACCTCCTCCCGATGAGCACGGGGCCTGTAGCGTTTGTTATAAAGGGGACCTAAAACAAATATTAAAACGCGTATGTTTTTTACTTGCATATTAAAGTAATTGTATATTTTTCATTTTCTATCCAGCCAGATAATACGACAAATCGCTAACCTTAAACACCCAGTCGTTCATAAAAGTCGAAGGCGGTATAGTACTATAGTAATAGAGCAAGTGCAGAATCACTGAACCGGAATATGATAGCTTGAAATCATTTAGCGCGGGGCCCTTGAAAGTGCGGGGCCCGTAGCTACAACATGTGTAGCTACATATGTAGTAGCTACTAGTAGCTACTAGTAGCTACTACATATGTAGTAGCTACATATGTACAACCACCTCCGATGTAAAATCACGGCTGTGGTTCTACATGTTTGTAGGTTGAACTGTTTGCGCACCGTACGTAGCCAACCGTGCCAATCGGGAATGCGGGGGAAGAACACACCAGATACAAAAAAATTTTTTCGAAAAAAGTAAAGGAATAACAACAATCAACAACCACATCAACAACCTCATCAGCCATACGAAAACGAATACAGATGGATATAGATACACATTGAGACTAATAGATTCACAGAGGCCCATAGACTCACACAGAGACCCAAAGACAGAGATCTATACAGATTCACACTGAGACCCGTAGACTCACACAGAGATCTATACAGATTCACACTGAGACCCATAGACTCACACATATATACAGATTCACACTGAGACTCATTGACTCACAGAGATTTATATAGATTCACACTGAGACTCATTTACTCACGTAGAGATCTATACAGATTCACACTGAGACCCATAGACTCACACAGATATCTATACAGATTCACACTGAGACTCATAGATTCACACCGAGATCTATACAGATTCACACTGAGACCCGTAGACTCACACAGAGATCTATACAGATTCACACTGAGACTCACGCAGAGATATATACAGATTCACACTGAGACCCGTAGACTCACACAGAGATCTATACAGATTCACACTGAGACTCACGCAGAGATCTATACAGATTCACACTGAGACCCGTAGACTCACACAGAGATCTATACAAACTCACACATAGGCCCATAGACTCGCACAGAGATCTATACAGACTCACACATAGGCCCATAGACTCGCACAGAGATCTTTACAGACTCACACTGAGATACATAGACTCACACATAGACTCACACAGAGATCTATACAGACTCACACTGAGACTCACACAGAGATCTATACAGACTCACACTGAGACTCACACAGAGATCTATACAGACTCACACTGAGACTCACACAGAGATCAATACAGACTCACACTGAGACTCACACAGAGATCTATACAGACTCACACTGAGACTCACACAGAGATCTATACAGACTCACACTGAGACCCATAGACTCACACATATATAAAGATTCACACTGAGACTCATTGACTCACAGAGATTTATATAGATTCACACTGAGCCACATTTACTCACACAGAGATCTATACAGACTCACACTGAGACTCACACAGAGATCAATACAGACTCACACTGAGACTCACACAGAGATCTATACAGACTCACACTGAGACTCACACAGAGATCTATACAGACTCACACTGAGACCCATAGACTCACACATATATAAAGATTCACACTGAGACTCATTGACTCACAGAGATTTATATAGATTCACACTGAGCCACATTTACTCACATAGAGATCTATACAGATTCACACTGAGATCCATAGACTCACCAGAGATCTATACAGATTCACACTGAGACGCGTAGACTCACACAGATCTATACAAACTCACACATAGGCCCATAGACTCGTACAGAGATCTATACAGACTCACATTAAGACTCACACAGAGATCTATACAGACTCACACTGAGACGCGTAGACTCACACAGAGATCTATACAGACTCACACTGAGATCCATAGACTCACACAGAGATCTATACAGACTCACACACAGGCCCATAGACTCGCACAGAGATCTATACAGATTCACACTGAGATCCATAGACTCACACAGAGATCTATACAGACTCACACTGAGACGCATAGACTCACACAGAGATCTTTACAGACTCACACTGAGACTCATAGACTCACACAGAGATCTATACAGACTCACACTGAGACTCATAGACTCACACAGAGATCTATACAGACACACTGAGATCCATAGACTCACACAGAGATCTATACAGACTCACACTGAGACTCATAGACTCACACAGAGATCTATACAGACTCACACTGAGACTCAGAGACTCACACAGAGATCTATACAGACTCACACAGAGACTCATAGACTCGCACAGAGGCTCATACGAAGGAGGAGGCATCATCATGATACAGGAGCGACGGTCCACCACTCCCGCTCCTCACGACGCAATCATGTGGCTCATCACCCACCTCGATATTAAATGACAGCTGTTGCTCTCCGTCGATATCGCCCACACGATGACGCGTGCGTGTGTTTTACAAGAAGAAAGAAACACATAACAGCGCGTGGAGTACACCACATTCACACGGATACCCGGGGCAATATTCGCGAAGGTGGATACGGGATGGACGTGAATTCTTATCAGAATAAAGGTGGCGACATCAGACAGGAAGGTTTGACTTGCGTGCTCTCGTCCAACCGACTTCAATCGATCAAATCAACAAAGCACGTTTGCAATCGGCAAAACACAGAAGGCAACGCGACTGGCAAAAGTAAAAACGGATCGGCAGTCGAAAAGGTCGCGCGTGGAATGACACTGGGCGACAGGGGACGGCGAACACACGGATCGGAGGACAAAGACAAAGTCCCCCCTCTCCCCACGTGTAGCCTTAGCAGGCTGTTGGGGCAAGTGCTGTTCGCGAGCAGCACCTACGAAGGCCGGCACAGTGGCACGCGAGGGGGTGGGTGGCCAGCACCCCGCCCGGCCGCCTTTGTCTCCCCCAGTGGCGATGTTTACACGCCGCACCGAGTAGGCGACTCGTTGAAGGATGAGGTGACTCTCCCCGCCCGTACCTCCGTACGGTGTGAAAGAAGTTCGACATACACACACACACGCAACATACGTGCTCACCAAACGCACCATCACACAACATACATGCGCCCCGATCGGACGGCCACCGGCTGAGATGGAGCGGATGAGATGGAGCGGCTGAGATTGGTTCTTGTGCGAGCGATGGGAGTGTGATAGGTCGTGGCACGACAAAACTGTTCAAATACGCCTTCATCCAGCAGGGGATAGACCACGGCTGCTGCTGATGATGATGGTGGTTTGAGTTTTTGTTTTAATTTCACGGATAATCACGCCGCTCCATTCATACCCCCCACCGGTTATTTTACAAGGGAGGATCAGTGGTGCCGCGTAAACGCAGCAGCAGCAGCAACAACAACAAAACAAGCCAAAGAAGTAATATTTAAAACAACTTTTTTTAAACACGCTTTAATGAAATGTACCGTACAAGTAATGGCAAAACTCCACGACTCCATGAAGTGGCCCCGAAGCTCGCCACAACGTAAGGGGACCGTGGTGATTTACAGCCAACGCCAGTTGAGCGTGGACAATTAGACGCAAGCCGAAACATAATAAAAAAAATGTTTTACAATTTTTTTTTATGATATAATATAGTTTCGTCATCAGTATGACATAAGTATACTAAGTATGCAGTCGATACCACATTTGGAAAGTGGGTTAAAATTGAGTTACAAGATTTGAGGATACAACAACGACAGACAGAGTGAGTTAAATAAAAGCGTGTTGTAATAAAGAAATAGTTCTGCAGAGAACTGCAGCATGGTCCGTAATGAGTATTGCACAACTAGCAAGCAAGGTGCAGCTACTTAACGGTCGTGAACTAAACACGAGCCAATTAACAAACGAAACATTGAGTGCGAGTTTAATGAGAGCAAGAGGCGCCAGATTGCAAACAAAAATCGAGGTTACAGCTGCAAGTAAGCGCGTTGTTTTAGTCGAGCAGTCACATCAACACACGTGATTATAAACATCATGTAACACACACGTGTGTGATTATACACATCATGTAACACACACACGTGATTATAAACATCATGTAACACACACACACGTGTGATTATAAACAACATGTAACACACACGCGTGTGATTATACACATCATGTAACACACACACACACGCGTGTGATTATAAACATAATGTAACACACAAACACGTGTGTGATAATAAACATCATGTAACACACACACGTGTGCTTATAAACAACATGTAACACACACACGCGTGTGATTATAAACATCATGTAACACACACGTGTGTGAGTATAAACATCATGTAACACACACACACGCGTGTGATTATAAACAACATGTAACACACACACAGACGTGTGATTATACACATCATGTAACACACACATGTGTGATTATACACATCATGTAACACACACACGTGTGTGATTATAAACATAATGTAACACACACACACGCGTGTGATTATAAACAACATGTAACACACACACACAGACGTGTGATTATAAACATCATGTAACACACACACGCACGTGTGTGAGTATAAACAACATGTAACACACACAGACGTGTGATTATACACATCATGTAACACACACACACGTGTGGCAGCAAGAGCCGCGCCAGAATACCTTCAGAAGTTCTTATTTACGCATGTAGTGCATGTACACGTGTGTATACACACAGGTGTGTGTGTGTATATATGTGTGTGTGTATATATACACGTGTGTGTGTGACCGGCTCCAGTTTAACAGCAGAGGTCTCACTCCGAATCAGTCGAGCGGCAATATCTTTTCATCGGTTGCGTAACGCTGTGTGGAAGCTACCTGGTCTGTCGTT